CATTTGTTCGACATATTTTTAATTGCCTCACAATATGATGAAGCTGATGTTGCCAGATAAGTCACTTTTATATCAAATGTTTTAAAACTTTTACAGTCATCGACTTTTAGATTATAAATTGTGTGTAATGTATATATTTTTGTTTATTGTTGTACAAATTATTATAAAAATAATATAATTAATATAAATTAATATTTAACTAATATATTATAATATAATATAATAATTATAAAAATTAAAACTAACCAAGACATCCTGTGTCATTGTCAAATGCTCCGGCGCAATTGATGTATACCTTTTTAATATACCTCTTTTATAGCGGCGCAATAGATAACTATATATAGATATACTATACAGGTAGTGTCCAAAATCCGGCGCAATTGACGAACACCGGGAAATTATAATCATTTTCAAGTAGTATAAAGTATTTCAAAATCTAAGAAAGTATCTGTGGTAGAGGATGATATTTCACCCTTATTAAAGTCAACCACCGACTACTCAAACAATATTTTAATATTTTGTTTAATATCTACTTACAATATGGTTCAATATGAAAATTTTTTTCACTTATATTATAATGTTATAACTATCGTAGGTATCATACTTCTTGAATTTGGTTATGATTTATAAAAGACACGTTCAMCATTATATATTCATAAACAAACATAGTCAACTATTGAATTATAAATGATTGAACGATAATACAAAATAACCTAGTCTAACTACCTACAAATTTAATCAAAAGTTGTTATGTGGTTCATAATATTTTTATATACCTATTAAAATAGATAATGGATACAAAATTATTTGATTATATAAATTTGAGTTCCTGAAATTTAGCTATAATTAGTTTATTATAGGTACACCCCTCCTAAAGTAGGACTAAATTAAAATGTATAATTTAAATTTTACTAAATTTGCAAAACGTATAATGTACGTATTATRGTGATAAACAATATCTCAGTAATATTATAATTTGTGAAATTAAGGAATATGTTTGACAGGTGAACACTCTCTATTTATATTAACCTTTGTTTTTGTTAATTTTTTATGCATAATATATTGTTTAGTATTTATATTTAGTAGACAATAATGACATTTAATAATTCACAAAGAAAAGTTGTAAAGATACCGCGTTGTAATGAATTAATTGTTACAAAATTGATGAATATTATTATATTAAAAKTTTTTTWAAAAATTAGTTTTTTTTTTTTTTAATTTGCCTTTTAGAAAAAAAATAGTCAAAATKTATACTTAAAATAATGAAACATTTAAAMATATATCACGATATTATTATTATTATTATTTATTATCTTCCCTTTAAAATATAAAACAGAATTTATCACGATGACAATTTTAACTGAATGGGTTTTCATTTTTGTTTTAGTTTCAATGGAGTCGAGCTCGTCGCTACAAAATATACAACCAATGTCAAAAAAAGAAACACCTATGCAAAGACCACTCTTTGACGACATTTCGCCTCATAATGTAACAGCTGTAGTTGGACAAACTGCTATTCTCCACTGCAGAGTCAAACATATATCTGATAGAACGGTAAATAAACATTTAAATTTATTTTTATTCCAGTATCAATTACATTGTTATGAYAACGCATAACTCATTATAGTGCGAAGTATATTATGCATATTTAAAAAAAATCTCATGTTGGCTTATTAATCATTTCTTAATAGTTAGTTAGTTATTTAATTTATTTAATCTCGCAAATCGAAATAATTTTTGACAAAAACATGGCATGTAACTTATAAAATATAAGTAAAGTATACAATAATATACCATGCAATTGTGGTAATCGGTTTTTGGTATTATAAATACAATAAAATAAAATATAAAAATATATTGATATAAATATTTCATGTTTAATAATTGTTGATTAAATATGTTGAAAAAACAGTTTAAATTTCTAACGTTCATAAAAAAAATGGACTGCATTGACGTTATTTTTAAGCTTCTATGTGAATGTAAGAGGACCCAACACTTTATATTATATTTTCAAATATTTCAACGAGTAATAAAAATGTTACGCATAAATTGAAAAATAGTGGATAGTTGGATATTTATATGCTAGGTATACAGAAAGTGTGAAATAGATAAATAGAATGGATGTGTTAAATTTGAAATCAATAATATAAAATCATTAACTATATAAATGAAGATTCTGAGCGGAGACGGTCTGATCAACCTATTTAGGTAATTAAAGATATTATTGCTATAAGCCATTTGCGGGACTGCGTGCGACTTGGTTTTTTACTCTAAAGGTCTAAAACATGCCTTACAGGATAAAATCTTACATCTCACTGAATGTTCAGGTTTCGATTATTATTTTTGTAAAAGAGAACACATATACACATATACACATATAGAGCGCATTGGATTTGGATTTTAAAAATTATAATTCTAAACCTTATGAAACGATTTTGAATATGAAAAAATTATACAAACACTTGTTTTTTTAAGGAACAAAATTAATACTTGAAGTCCAATGTACCAGGTAGAAAATTATAATCGCTCTTATAAAAAAAA